CTGCCGGGCATGTTCTCATAAGGAATGGCAGTTTACCGAAATTTGCCTTTGCAACTTGATGTAATGAAATAACCAGTCACCCCCCGTAAATGATTACACTATAGGTAATAGATATTTACTTGACACCCCCCACTGAGTCAGGTTGTGACACAAGGTCAGTTTTTAACGTAGGGACCCGAATGTTTTCGCTCGGGCCGCTGGTCCAAGCTGGTCTTAGCTGGTCATAGCTTGCCCAATCTGATCTTAGCTGGTCATAGCTTGTCCAAGCTGGTCATAGCTGGTCTAAGCTAGTCATAGCTGATCTTGGCTTGTCATAGCTGGTCCAGACCAGAGCCGGTCCAAGCTAGGCTTAGCCGTGATACTACCAGCGCAGGAACGGATCTCTACACCAGGTAAGTATCCATACTATAGGTAGTAAGTACCTACAAAGTCAACTGTCTACGAGAGACTCGTGGAAGAGTGAGAGCGAGAAGACGCAAGCACGTCTGACCTTCCAATTAGTGGCACTCACTAATAGATTGACCTGTGTGTATAACTGTATAGTATTTCATATTGTACTGGTTGTGTACTATAAACCTTTCTTCTATTATCCACCTGATGTTAAGTATTTCTTCACTTAGCACGGAATATAACACAACTTAATAACTGTATAATTTTATTAACCATAGTTTTTATCTTACTTTGGTTTGTAAGGCAATTTAGCATCAACGTCCATTTTCTATAGTCATTTTCTTTCAAGAGAAACCACAAATAGATTCGAGAATATATTTGTTGTTTCTATTGAAAAATTTGGGTTATTTTTCTTTAGCAACTCCTGTTTCTTTAGAGTAGTTTCCTTTGCCGGTTTTGATTTTATTTTATGGCCCTTTGCATATCAATCCTGCTTATCACTTTTGTTTTCAGGGTTTGGCCTCGATGGATGTATATGCGATCTCTAGGATTTTGCTCTTTATGGGGACAATCTTTGTAGGAGGGTCTGGTCTATTTACCGGTTCCATCCAACTAACTTCGGGTTTTCTCTTTATTCCCTTATTCTTCTTCCCGGGCTTCGTTATAGACATTTCTCAGGTGTTTTTGAAAGCTTGACCACTTGTAACTATTTAATTTCAACAATTTCTCAATCAGCTCAAGGTACTTGATTCCCTGCTTTGCTTCTGCTTAGCTGGTTTCTTTCATCTTTTTTTTTTTTTTTTCGCTATCGTGGCATATGTCTGTGATTTCATATATTCACCAACGATTCTTTTGGTTTCTGGGAATTATACATTTTCGGTGTGTTACACCTGTAATATCTTCTTCTTCCTTCTGTATATATCAAATATCTTTGAAAAGGCCGGATAGACCCCATGTCAGTTCGCACATCTCTCATTCTGCCAGTCGTCTTCCTCATAGGAGGGCTCTTTTTTTCTCCACACTTTCTAACAACCTGTTTTCTTTTATATTTGTCCTTATGGCGCCCAAATTTCTGGCATTTGAAGCTCTGTAAGGAAATTGGTATATAAATCTCTACCATTTCTATCGTGAAACCGTTCATACCCCCTTTGGAACTGTTAAATGTTAGTATGTAGGTATTCATCAAAATGATCTCTCCACTTTTCCTGATACCAACCTTCCTATGCTCAATAACACCCTGCTTCTTTCGTGACACTATTGTTTCTTCCTCTGTTGCCAAACTCAACTCCCGATGTCTTACTACTCCTTTGCAATTATTTAACCTTTTCTGAAGATATGCCTGGTCTATTTACCGGTTCTGTCCCACTAACTTCGGGTTTTCTCTTTATTTCCTGATTCTTCCCGGGCTTCGTTTAGACATTTCTCAGGGTTTTTTGAAAGCTTGGCCACTTGTAAATACTTAATTTCAACAATCTCTCAATCATCCTCTACCTGTTTCCGTCCTTCATCTCTACCTAAAGGTTTCAACTTCTTAATTTCTTCAGACCTTGACTCAGCTCTGCTCGTTAACACCCTTTCAGTAAGAAACGGAGACAGCTTTCGAAGAGGCACATCCTCCAGCGACTTAATCACTATGAATCTTGTAAATTCGCCCTACATAAAACTCTTTTTTAGCGTTCACTGGTCCTGTGCTCCGTCACCCACCACGGAATCCAACTTGTTGTTATGGGATCTTACCCATAATAATAATAATGGACTATTTCATACTGCGCCTCAGGAGTAGGCAAGGGGACAGTCAGTAATTCGACAGTTCCGGAGTTTCCACGTTAAACCGGCCTTGTGCCACATGATACCCACGTGGGCGAGGCGGGGGGGTGACTAAATATAGTCAGTCAGTAATTCGACAGTCGATGTCGGACGACCGGCTGAGCGGTTGAACTCTCTGCCTTCGGGCGGGGAGGAACCCAACGAGGCTACGCCGAAGGGCGGAGTCCCTTTCGGAAAGGTAAACCGGCCCTGAACCCGTTTATACGGGTTCAGTGGGCATATTTTTGGGCCGAGCCTACGGGCTCGAAAATCCCACGTTAAAAATGGCCTTGTGCTATGTGACGCCCCAGTGGGGGAGCTGACTGAATATCGTCAGTCAGTAATTCGACAGTCGATGTTGGACGACCGGCTGAGCGGTTGGACTCTGTCTTCGGGCGGGGAGGAAACCAAACGAGGCTACGCCGAAGGGCGGATTCTCTTTCGGGGAGGTAAACTGGCCCTGAACCCGTTTATACGGGTTCAGTGGGCATATTTTTGGCCCGAGCCCACGGGCTCGGAGATCCCACATTAAATAACCGGCCTTGTGCCACATGATGCCCCAGTGGGGGTTACTGAATATCGTCAGTCAGTAGTTCAAGTCGAGTCAAGAGTCGAGTCAGAGGCAGTCCGAAACAGAGTCGCGTTCAGACAATTACTGCAAGACATTGGAATAGTGATACTGGTTGAGACTACATTGTTCTCTCTACTAAACCTGATTGTTCATACTAACACTTCTACTTCTCTGTATATATTCCTGTTTGTAATATATCTGTGTTATTCCATACCTGTGTTCGCGTTCTTCTTTATTGGTTCTACCTTGGACTATCACCGTGCTACAAGGAACCGGACCATAACACTAGTGTTGGGAGTTTACCAATGGG